CTGGTTCAACGACAAATAAACGTATAACCAACCGTTTAAGAACAATAAGAAGCCCTGAAATCATTGAGATGGTGAGAGCGTCTGTGCGGCAGGAACCAAACTTGTCGGTTCGCAGGCGTTATGTCGATATGATACGTGATTTTTTGACACCGGCTCTTCAAGAATTTGAAGGATTTGACCAAGAAAGCTGGTTTTAACAAAACGGAGCCACAAGTCACACTTCAAATCGGTCTTTGCCCGTTGTTCAGGCGTTTTTTCCTGAAAAACTGATTTCCCGGAGAGGTGACATAAATTGGCCCCCTAGAAGCCCGGATTTGACTCCATGCGACTTCTTTTTATGGGGATATCTTAAAAGTCGAGTTTATCGTAACCACCCTGCCAATTTTGAGGACTTGAAGCACAATATTTGGGCAGAAATGAAAGCCATAAGTGAGCAAACTTTTCGGAGTGTGATTGCAAATTTTAGATCTCGACTTCAAGAGTGCCAGGAAAAAAATGTGCAACATTTGGACAATATAATTTAAAAAAAATTAATTTCCCAAGTTTTTTCTTTAATTTAATAAAAAATTTGTCAAAATTGATCGATTGGTTTTTTTAAATTTTAAATTCAAAAAGTGAAAAACCAAATGAGACACCCTGTATAAATTAAAACTTTTAAACACACAAAATATTGACAAACTATGAAGAAGTTGGACAGTAACTAAATTTGTAGCGTGTCTTTTTTTACTTATAACCGAAGGGACGCTTTAAAAATCCAACAATTTTAGAAATCTTTTTTTCTTGTTTAAAACACAATGGATGAATAGAAATGTCAACACTGAGGCTTTAACTTTTGTAGTTGGACATGCTAAAATATCCGAAATATCTCAGAAGAACTACTTTAAAAATACAAAATTTTAAGAAAATATGTTTTTATTGTGTTGTAATGAGTGGTTAAAATTTCACCTTTAAGACTATTTTTTAAAATAACCAAAATATTGCGATTCGTCTGAAATGGGGTATTTTTAATCTGAAATATCTCAGAAAAAACACTTAAAAAATCCAAAATGTTTAACATTATTTTATTGTGTTGTAATAAGTGCTTAAAATTTCATTACTTTATACATTACATAGTTTTTTTGTTAGTTATTTTTAAAAATAGCTAAAATCCAAAATGTTCAAAAACATTCTTTTATTGCACACATGTGTTGTAGTAAGTGGTAAATATTTCATCAAGTATTTTAGTTATAACTAAAATATACACTTTTTTAAAACATTTTAAAAACTAGTTAAAATATTGCGATGAAATATTTTAAAAGAAACACTTTAAAAATTTCATCACTGAGACAGTAAGTTTTTTAGTACTTGAGATGCAAACCTTATCCTAGTGAATTATCTCTTGTATAATAATAATAATAATAATAAGTTTATTAAATCTTCAAATGTTTATTTACAATGTCTACAATGATAATATAAAAAGCAGTATTGTAAATATATAATATACACATAAATAAATAAAAATACAAGAAACACCTCATTATAATAAATGTATATCAGTCAAGTAAAAGATAAATAAAAATTTATATGATTAATATTAAAAGTTTAAAAATTCTTTAATTGAGTAAAAAACATTCTGGATTATAAAAATTTTAATAGTCTTTTTAAAGAATTTAGTGTCCCTCTTCCGTATGTCAATCATTGTTTTTTGGAACAACATTCTGTCAAACTTTATCAAAAATGGTGTCTGCTAACAGCATTTTCTATTACGAGCCCTAACCACATAATGTTCGGACACTTCATAATTTATACAGAAATTTTTTTCGTGAATACTATCTCAAAATTATTAGAAGTTATGAAAAATTCAGCTTATTTTGGCATATACCCCTCGAAGCGATTTTTATTTTTAAAAAGTTTACCTTTTATTTTTAGCTTTTAAAAAAAGGCTAACTTTTTAACTTTTTTTTGTATGAGTAAAAAAAGTTATAAATGGACCCATTAAAAAGAGCATAAAATATTATACAAACCCTGAAAATTTGGTAAAAAATAAATAAGTTATAAAAAAGTATAAGTAATTTAAAAATGCTATTTTTAAAGAGTTTTTGCAATTTTCTTAGGAAACGGGAGATTTTGCAGATATATATATCGCTATAACTTTCTTATTATTTATACAACTTTTACCAAATTTTCAGGGTTTGTATAATATTTTATGTTCTTTTTAATGGGCCCATTTATAACTTTTTTTACTCATGCAAAAAAAAGTTAAAAAGTTAGCCTTTTTTTAAAAGCTAAAAATAAAAGGTAAACTTTTTAAAAATAAAAATCGCTTCGAGGGGTATATGCCAAAATAAGCTGAATTTTTCATAACTTCTAATAATTTTGAGATAGTATTCACGAAAAAAAATTCTGTATAAATTATGAAGTGTCCGAACATTATCCCTAGTAGAAATTTGTCCAGTTTTCCTCACTATTGGTAGGGCGCTGGCTGGGTTTAGATAGGGAAAAACTAGAAAGGGAAATACTAGATAGGCCCCGACTAGAAACTATCCAGTAAAACTTGCCTAGTTGTGACTCGCCTCCGACTGACTAGTTCACATCTAGTTTTCCTCATTAAATTCCAGTCTAGGCTGACTCAAGTTTTCCTCACCATAAACTTGTAAGGAAATGTAGGGAAAATCTCCTTGTTTACAGGTTACTAAGGATTTTGACGTTTTTCTTGATTTTACATTTTTTGACGTTTAAATGCTGTGTTTGTTATATGATTAAAATAATGATAAAAGATCGATGGGTTGGTGTAAACGATAATGAAATTAAGGCAAGTTTAAATAAATATATTTACCGTATACGGTACGGTAAGTTATTGCTTTATGTGTAAAGATATTTTATAGTTTAAACCTAACCTTAGTTTTTTTTTTAAATTTTACTATTTAAGTATATTTAATTTACAAGGCTTCATTTGGACAAACATTTAAGGAATTATGTTTGTTTTGAAGATACAGGTTGTTTAATTAAATAAACACCTTTAACTTAAGCTAGATTTCATAAAAACTTCTTTTACTTTTGGGCAAAAATTAAGGGGTTATTTTTTGAGTGAGATTCAAGTTGAGGGGTATATTTAACAGGCGTCTAGAAATCAATGGTCAAACATAATTTGTTGAAATTTCAAATAACTTTATTTTTTAAAAACCAAAATTGAGAATTGGCGGACATCTATGCGCAGTAGGTACCAGATGGTTGAAACTATTGGCAGATATACTTTAAAAGGCTGTTTCTCTCTTATTTTTGAGATACTTGAAGTATTCGTTTGTCTACTTGATTTCTACACGCTGTTAAAAATAACCTCTCTACTTAAAACTCACCCGTTGTATTAATTTATCCATTTATTTGTTAGATTCTTCCAATGGTGCAGAAAAACTTGATAGTGATTTAACTTCAAGTCATGGTGCAACAAACAAATTTGGCTTGTCACAAGAAGTTATACCAAATCAATTTACAACCGACAATAATAATTCCAAAAGTGATCGAACGATAATGTAAATATATAAATCTAATAAAAAAATTTTAGCTTCTGGCTTTTATTATTGGTTAAAAAATTCACAAATATTCCCAACCAGTTTTAAGCTAGTTTTCCCTACCAGCTTTTCCCCAGTAGTTCCCCACCAGGAAAAGCATTACATGACTAGTCGGAAACTAGTAGGGATTCCTAGCGAGGCCCTCGTTTCATTTGGGGAAAACTAGCTAGCGCCCTACTGATTCCCCATTTAAATTTCTACTAGGGAAGTGGCAACGGCTTCTAAATGCTATTCGTTGATTGGTTTACCCTGCAATGGCACATGGCCCGAGTTTTTATTTTGTTTATTTTTTTTTTGTTATTTTGTTATAAAACAACTTGTTACGTATGTATAAATACATAAGAAATAAATTATTTTAATACATTGACAAGCATTATTATGTTTTATACGTTTACATTACAAAAAACAACTTTTCCATCTTTTCCAACTTTTCCGAACTTTTCCGAAAAATAAAACCCAACTTTTCAAAAATTTCAACTTTTCATGAAAAGTTGCAACCCTAGGTTTACTTAATAGCGAAATATCCATTTAAAATCTCATCTTTAATATACTTATTTTCTTTGTTACAGACGTTTGTTTATAATATTTTATTTTTGATTTATAACCCGTTTTAAAAGAAGTTTGTAAAATTTGACATTCTGTCATAAAAACATAATACAAGGCCCATTTTAGTGCTACAATTATTAAGCGCATCAGCAATCCTTTAAAGTTGTGCAGTACACAATGTAAACGGCCCATTTTTATGTCGCCAGATCCAATAGAACCAATCCCTGAAACTTATTTTTACGCATTTTGAAATTTGACAAAAGCGTTAAGAATTAAATTAAATCCAAATATTATTTTCCTCACGTTAACTTTGTTTATGGAAATTCGTTTGTAAACTGACCGTAATCGCTTAAAAGAGCTGTTTAAAATTTACACAAATTACTAATACTTTAAAAAAGTTAAATACTGAAGCCCCATAAAAAATTAATATAAATAGATAAGACTTTTCCTGACTTCTATTAACTGCATTTTAAGATATTTAGCATAATTAATAAAAAATTAAAAGTTCAATTTATTTTAAGATATATGAAGTCTTTTCAATTCATGTCCCATTCATTTTTTTATAATTTCCTTTAATAAACTTTCCAATAACCATAACAAACCTGTTTTTTAATATTGTTTTTATATAGGTACATATATTAATTTTATAATTAATAAATAGATTTTTGAACTTTGTAGTAAAAACAACAACTTAGTAATAAAACTTGCCAAGTAATGATGTTTAATAAAAATAAGTATTAGGCGGAAGGTACAATTAATATTAATATTGTATTACCTAATTGTTATTGGTACAATGTAGTAATACCATTGGGTAAATTAAATAGTTTTTTTTAGGAAAAATAGTTTTATTTAAAATTTATAAATAAATAATATATAAATAGATAAATAAATAACTATAATGGATTTTTAAGGTTTTAATAAAACGTCAATGGGGAAATTAAGGAAAAATCCATTTCCAACTCTTTTATAAACGCTAGATATAATTTCTTTTATGCCAATGGATAATTCTTCAATAACTATTTCCCAATCTCTTGTCAGCATTTGATTGGTGAATTTGGCTATAAAAATAAATAAAAATAAAATATTTTATAAATGAATTTGTTTTCTTACTCATTTCTGGATCTCCTCGTATAATTTCATCCAATTGAATTATTGCTGAATCCAATCGAAAATCGACTACATCTTTGGTTATGTTGGCGTATTTTGCACCATTCTTTTCAAAAAGTTTGTAGTTGAATTTCCATGTAACGATGACGTTTTCTATTAGATTAAAACATATTATAAAGCACAACTTAAACTTTTGAACAAATATAATATATAATAAAATTACGTAGGTACTTTCTTTAATCAAATTGGATCAAAACTGTATGGTCTTAAAAAAAACAAAATCAGATTTTCAAGATAAATAAATACCACAAAGGACGTACGAAATTAAACCATAAAAATTTAATATTGGATAATATGCAACACAGTTAACAAAAATAAATTGACTTGTTTCTTACCTACTGTTATGTTAGCTTTATCTGCTCCTTGTAAAGAAAATATAAGAATTCTTCCGTTTATATCGTAATTACCAACAAAATGAGCTTTTTTAAATTTGATTATAACCTCACCATCTTGTTTTTCTGTATTTATACTAAAGAAAACAATTTTAATTAAAAAACTTATATACGGAACAAACATTATCATACTAAGCCGATTGAATTTGTCCAATCTGTATGCCATCTATCACAAGATCTGTTAGTGAGATATTTATTGCTGGACCAAAAATCTCAACTAATGGTAAAATCAAGGGGTTTAGAGGTGGGATGTCATATTTTCTTTCACCTAAAATTTAAACAAGTTATTTTAACGTTACCTATTAATTTAATAAAAAGTTTGGCTATAGCTACAAAGTGGTAGAAAGTGGAAAAGTAGAAAGGCAGAAAAAAATACATATCAACTTTGATTAATAGAAATGTTAATGACAGTAAATTTAAAGTATAAAAAAATAGTATTTAATGCCAATAAAAAAACTTATCTACTGATTTTTTTGGACCCAGCAATTTAAAATTTAGTAAAGACATTTAAAGAAACTTGGTCTGTTGAAACAAACCAAATTCCATCAACCGACTATTTTTAAAATGGGTAAGTTTGAAACCCTGTCGATACAAAATTTTACCCGAAACAAATTAAAGTGTGTCCAAACAGGGTGTCAGCACATTGTTATAGGTACAATTCGACAATAACGGCGGTCGTCGAAAGCCGTTTATTGGACAACAACGCGCTTTTTGCGTTAGCGCATTTTATCAGAACACTAATTTTTACTGGAATACGACATTTTTTAAGCTATTTTACTTTTATGTGAGATCAGAAGCTTCAAATGGTTAAACCTTATTTCTAACAGAACTAAGTGATGAGTTTTTCGCAACTGGTAATAAATGCAAAACTGACGGCGTGCAGTAATGATAAAATTATTGTTATGGCAAAATGCAAGTATACGATAAACTGCTCCATTGCAACAAAATTTACAATTTGACTCCTACCATGACTGCGTCGTTTTATATACATAAAAAGTGCACTCCCTTTTTGGACATAATATGTAGGGATTATCATTAGGTATTAACATTACCTCCAATAATTCCGTTTAAAGTTTTTTGGGCAATTGAAGTCATACAAGGGTAATCGCCTCTTGTGCATGGAACCAAATAGTGGGCTAAAAAAAATAAAAATTTGTTTAATATCAACCAAAAACTAAAAAAAATAAATAATAATTGGTCTTACGTAGTTTAAGTCCCAAACCACCACCAACTAAAGCACAGAGCAACAAGTAAGTAAACATTGCGTTTGATCTGATCTAATTTCTTAACGTTTGTGAATAAGGCCCATCTTTTTCTTTCCCTTATATACGTACACCTCTTCTAAAGAGCAAGTACAGTAATAACAAAAAGACATAAAATAAAAGTCAGCTAAAGCCTTTTTCATAAGATAAATACGACCGGTCTGCGCTGGTCATGCATGTTTGAATCAAACGGCTTTATTTAAATTTATGAGGTAATGCTATACGAGGGTAGAATAGGTAATTATGTCATAAGGCTGAGAAGCGAGTAATTTTGTGATGTGCTTACTTAAAGATAGACCAGGATGGAAAAAAAACCTTACCTGACTGGTGATTTTTACAGCCTAGGAGATAATAGAATACTTTTGTGCTGAGCGTTAACAATAATAAAGCTTAAAGTATAGGACGCTATAAGATAATAGATGATTTCGCGGTGCTAATCCCGAACTAGTTCGGACATCCTAGGCATGCGCATTTTAATATTTGTCATGCGCACTTTACATTTTAAACCCCAAATTTTAAAAAGCGCATGCCGAGGATGTCCGGAATTAGTTCGGAATTAGCTCCGCGAAAATAGCTAATAGTATTTTCTCTAATAAGTTTGGAATACAGCATATTCCGCTCAAGTGAAGAGTTTGTCACACGAGCCGAAGGCGAGTTTGACGGTTTCACGAGAGCGGAATGTGCAATTCCAAACGTGTTTCAGACTATACTTTTTCTACGTTTCCAAAAAATACCATAGAAAAATAATTTAATTTAGAAGAAAGTGAGGTTGGATCGGTCTAAAATTTGTTAGATATTAAAAGTCGCCACGAGAGCTTATTCTGTCATCCGAACATTTTATTTTATAATACTTTACGGAATATATGTTATTCCATAGATAAAAGTGATATTAGAACGTTCAAATTCCGTAATAGGATTAGAAAATAGTTATTTGTTTTACAAGTGTTGAAAAGCGACTTTTTCATGCGAGTTTTTAAGTTGCGCACGAGGCCGTTAGGCCGAGTGTGCATTAACCCGAGCTTGAAGAAAGCTTTTCTCACAAGTATAACACAATGTTTTTTCTGCGACCCTTTTATTTTTTATTATTTTTAAATACAAAACAAAATAACCTAAACATTTTTTTGACAGCTGAATGTCAAACGATGCTGTCAATTTCTTTTCACACAGACATTTCACTTTTCACACAGAAATGTTACTTTACATTCGTGTTTTGCCTTGCCAATGAAAAGATTTATTTTCGGCAACGATGCCATCATGAAAAGTGACTTTTACATAGTGGTCGTAGAAAAAATATATTACGTTATTGTATTACGTTAAATTACTTTACGCAAACTTATTTGGAATATAGGTGCAACAAATTCAAAAAATTTCACTTCTATTTATAAATCGCCTCATATACATAATTTAAGTATTTAAAAACCAGTTGTTACAGAAACACTGTTAACATCTGTAGATTCTAAAATTTTTCATTTAGTGTTGACCATTATTTAATCAGGTATGTAGTTTGTTTATTTGGCTCTTATTAATATAATGTTATATTAACCTGTACCCCGTATATCGAACGGAATTTCTTTGGATGTAGTCCTTCCTGATCCAAGTAATATATTTATTTTTATTTTGCAAAAGTACCGTTGGGTTTTTAAAAGCATGTCGATTGAACACACTTGTTTGCTATTCCTGTATTATATTATGTTAAGGCGGGTTTATACAACAATTGGTAATTTAGTGGAGAATTTATTTCTTAACTCAATTGTTAATTTAATGTATAATTTAATTCATAATACATAACTTGGTTTATACAATTCATTAATTTAATAAATATTTTATTTTTTCAAATGACAATATTGATAATTAAAAGTGACAAATGACACAAAATCCCTCATTAAAACTCATATTTTGTAGGAACTTTGTAGTATTTTTTAAGGCACAAACACAAAACAAAATAGTTATTAATTATAACCTTAAAAAATGTAGAGAAAAAAATTGTTGGCACATGCGCTGTTCAATCTTATTTATAATTCATAATTTATTTCATAAAATTTAAATTTTATGAACTTTCAAGGTTATTCAACAAACACTAAATTGTGAGTTAGGGATTAAATCCTTGTATACTAAACTGTTTCATAGCAGATAGTACGATTGAACTTTTATGCTTATGCACAAAATTGGAAATTATGAAATTAATAATATGAAGTTGTATAAACCCGCCATTAAAATAAACTCAACCATTCATACTTTAAATTATACATCTATCATAATGTATGTATATCTTAAGAGATAATTTCAAGTTACATCTGTTAGGTTATAACCACCCAGACTGTAATAAGGGTTTGAAAATATTCCAGGAATATGCCCTATCATCTAGGAATAATCCGCTTCATTCTAGGAATATTCCTTGGGAATATTCCTAGAATGATCCTCCAAAACTTCGAAGCACCATCTAAGAACATTCCCAGTAAATATCCATAGGGAATATTTCATAGAATAATCCTCTACAACTTCCAAGCAACATCTTGGAACATTCCCAGTAAATGTTCTTTATATTCAAAACACAATAAATAATTTTTACTACTCCTATTACGGAATTTGACCGTTCTATATCACTTTTATCTATGGAATGACATATATTCCGTAAAGTGTTACAGAATGAATATTTAAATATTCTATTATCGGATGACAGAATAAACACTCATGGCGACATCTCTGTTTTTAATATCTAACAAATTTTAGACCGATCCAACCTCACTTTCTTCCAATTAAATTATTTTTCTATGGTATTTTTTGGAAACGTAGATATGTATAGTCTGAAACACGTTTGGAATTGCATATTCCCCGCTCTCGTGAAACCGTCAAACTCGCCTTCGGCTGGTGTGTCAAACTCTTCACTCGAGCGGAATATGCTGTATTCCAAATTTGTTACAGTTAAAAAACTGTTTTGTTAAACTATTATACAGTGAAATATACAATTAAATAAATAAATAAAAAATAAATAAATAAATATAATATAAATAATAGTTTATTAATCAAATTAAATAATAGTTTATTAATCAAAAAACAGATTTAACCAATGCCAAACCATTTAATTTAAAAAAAACAATTATTTACAAATAAATTTAAACTGTTACCTTATTCTAAAATTGTCATTCAGTATTTATATTTATATTTAAAAAAAAATATTGCCTACATTATGTTATATAAGTTTGTTATTTGTTAAAATCATTTTTGAAGAAGCTACTGTGTTAGCGAAACAATTCGTGACCTTGGAATGACAAGGTTCTAAGTGCAGCTGCCCCGTTAAGCAAAACTGCCTTACCTGCAATAATTAATATTCTAGATAAGTCATTTTTGCTTAACGGCGCAACTGCACTTAGAACCTGGTCATTCCAAGGTCACGAATTGTCAAAATAAATTAAAATAAATTCGTGAAACTCAAAAGACAGTGTTTGTTTTTTATCTAGTTATACATTAGTATACATTTTTAAATTTTTACATAATAAACATGTTTTTTTTTTGTAACATTGGATGACATAATTCTTAAGTACCATGCAGTTATTTTTGTTATACAGGATTGGTAATTTGGGTTGGTTGGGAGTGGTTGGTACTGGAAATCGCAAACAGCGACGCGAATGTGAAATTCCTATGAAATGTTGCCAGGTCCCATAATTTTGCATGAGATCTAAAGTTTTTCCAATCAATCTCATGTTATTATGCTACTTTTTTTTATATATAAAAATCCCATGTATTTTCACAAATTCAAGCAAATTTATGTTTTTGTATAGGAAAGTATTTTTTAAAACGTTTTTATCTTAATGAATGTTGTTATTTTCAGCAATTGTATGATTATAGTAATTATTAGCAAATACATTTTAAATATGCCGCCAATATATATTCGTCAGTCATGTTTAATTTTTTAAATCATAATAAGCTGAGCTTGGTGCTCGCTGCGGGTGGGAATCGGGGGAAACTGGGTAGTAATTTTAAAGATGAATTTTATATTTCTCAAGTCTTGTCTGTCACCTTATATGTATCATCTGTAAATTTTTTTTTGTCACCTGTCATCTTTCACCTGCAATTTGTCCCCTGTCATCTGTCAACTTGACATATGTCAACTATCATCTGTCACCTGTCATTTGTCTTCTGTCATCTGCCACCAGTCTTCTGTCTTCTGTCATCTGCCACCTGTCACCTGTTTTTGTCACCTGTCATCTCACATGTCACATGTCACATACCATTTGTCATCTGTCATCTGCCATTTGTCATCTGTCACCTGGCATCTGTCACATATCATCTGTCAACTTGACATCTGTCACTTGACATATGTCACCTGTTCACTTGACACCTGTCAAAGTGTTGTTGGATACTTTGTTGTGTTCCCCTGTATATGATTTGCGAAAAAAATTAAATCGACTTTAATTTAAAGATCCACCCGATAAACGAATTTTATAAATTATATTTTTTCGTTTGGGAAATTAAAATGCAAAATGCAAAAGCTGGCCACACCGCAATTAAATTTGACAATGCCGCATTGTTACCTAATATTTTGTTGGATCCCCCTGTAATCGATTTGATTTTGGAGATTTTAATTGGTTAACTTTTTTAAATACCCAACAAAAATTAAACGGGCTTCTGGCCGATTAGTTTTTATTCAATAAAGTTCGTCTTTTAGTATTTCAAACTTTGGTCTTTTAACCGTCGATTCGTGTATTTCGTTCGGCCAATTTCGAAAATTTCTCTCGCCCTACAAAACACAAACACAAACAAAATTTTTTGAAAAAATATTAAAAGATCGTTACTCGAAAAGTTTTGCGCGGATCCGGCCCGTTTGCAATAGGAAACAAATTATCGTCCCGAACCACCTTTTCCTCGAGTTTGGCCGAAAAATCTCGGCTCGTTCGAAAGTTATGCGAGTTCAACTGAACGGGCAAAATTTAACGGAAAAATGGACTTTAGCGTTTTTGACACCGGAAAAATTTGGTGCACCGATAGGTCTCATAGACACAAAAAAAGGATGCAAATTTCGAGGGTCCACCTTCAACGGCAACGGCGGTTCGAAAAAACCGATACACAGACAGACTCACAGACAACGAACAAAAAAAAATAAAATTCGATTACGAGTCGATACATACTTTTAAAGTTGTCCTAGCTGCCCTTCTTGTCATACTTTTGCAATCCGCTGCTCGCGCGCAATTTTTTTTTTTAAATCAATTGATTTTGAGTTTTGCACCAAAAATTAACACATAAATCATTCTAATAAATTAAAAGCTCGTTACTTGACAGCTAAAACTTAAAAAAATCTCAAAAATTAGGTACACTGTTTTAATCGATTGCAAATTTGTTTAGATCTAAGGGGGCGGTCTGACCCGGCACCCCGGTCTAGGGAGCCACCAAATACCGGAAGTCTTCCAGTCTAATAAAAAGAAAACGCTGTCATTTTTTTTTCATGAAGAGGCTTGGAATTCGGGGCCTCCGAACAGGGCCGGCCCGACTTTGTTTGCCGCCCCCGGGCGAAGATATTTTTTTGAGTTTTGCACCAAAAATTAACACATAAATCATTCTAATAAATTAAAAGCTCGTTACTTGACAGCTAAAACTTAAAAAAATCTCAAAAATTAGGTACACTGTTTTAATCGATTGCAAATTTGTTTAGATCTAAGGGGGCGGTCTGACCCGGCACCCCGGTCTAGGGAGCCACCAAATACCGCAAAGTCTTCCAGTCTAATAAAAAGAAAACGCTGTCATTTTTTCTTCATGAAGAGGCTTGGAATTCGGGGCCTCCGAACAGGGCCGGCCCGACTTTGTTTGCCGCCCCCGGGCGAAGATATTTTTTCCGCCCCCTTTTTATTCAGCAGGAATAGGAAAAAAAGTAGTTTAACGTAATTATTTTTTTCAATTTTTTTATAAAAGCTTTTTATGCTTTAGAATTACTAGGTAAGACAATATACTGTTAAATATGTCAATGAATATATCCTATAAATTTATAGTGAGTATAATTAAACAATATTTTAAAATTACAAGAATTCTTTGGTTTGTAAAAATTTACTTTCGCAATATTCCGCGATAGCGATTATTACATACATATATGTATGTAATAATCTGAGCTATCGCGGAATATTGCGAAAGTAAATTTTTACAAACCAAAGAATTATAATTGCTGTTAAAAATGTGTAGATGTAAGTACAACAAAAATTAAACCTCATTTTTCTATAGGATATATGCAATATTGTTTAATTATAGTATAATTATTATACCTGCCTACGATGGTTCTTTTTGCAAGAATTTGGAAAAGGTTGCTGCTAGTACTCGATTTTTCGCCGCACGCGCCCTTTTTTTGTTTTTATAAAAAGTTCCTGAATCTTTTTTGCGTTTTTCAGATATTTTATACTTCTAATTATCAAATTACCTTAGCAATGCACTGATTTTACAACGCACGATCGTGATATAATAATTGTCAATTGTCAAACAAAATTATAGAAAACTACAGGATATGATTGAAGAAATGAATGAAAGAGAGCGCCAGGGTCGTCTTCCGAGAGCGCCTCTATTAAATATTTGTAAATTATCTAAACTGCATTTATCGAGCGTAATTCTTGAAAAAATCGCCAATCGAAAATTTTTTAGTATGTTGAATAAAATTGATTATCATTAGCAAATCGTAAAAATGCCGCCCCCCATTATGCCGCTCTGGGCCGTTGCCCGGTTCGCCCGTACCTCGGGCCGGCCCTGCCTCCGAACGCATACTATTAGGGCATATCATTAGTACCTACATGTCCTTATAATGTGGCAATATCGTTGGAAACCATCTTCATGCAAATACTTAAGAGTTAGAGTTGATATTATTGATAACAAATAACCATTCTTTAAAATATTCCATGATTTTAATAATTAAATTTTCTATATAATTTGTCCATGAACCAACCGAATAATGTAAAATTAGTATGTATTTATTTCAAAAAATATTAAAAACACTTTAATATTTAATTATTATAAAGAAAAACATGTTTAAAGCGGAAGTTATATAAACATAAAAATTTATGCAAAATAAATGTTCTCAATGAATTAATTTTTATAAATAATATCATTACTATCATTCCCAAAGGATGACAATTTATTAGGTGATATCCAGTATATTAATAAACCTGCATTTACAAACACTTGTTTACTAAAAACTAAAATAAATAATTCAAAGTTCAAGTTTTTATTTGTTTACATTCGAGTTATACACAATTTAAATAAATGCTTAGTTTTTTATAATTTTATAAAGGATATTAAGTTTAACATTGATTTCAAAGTCATTTAGTTCCAATGTGTAATTAACATTTAATTCAAGATCATTTTTGCCATTTTTTAAAACAAAACATCATAAACTTGTACTAAATATGTGTATTTAATAAAAGAATAGCTTTACAAAGAGCACGGTTGATAAACTACAGATGGGGTATTTGCCTAATACTATTGGGTAACCTCACCTTGCATGCACCTTACATTGTGTATAAATAAGAAGAGGTTTAATAAGATCCTTAGCAATTGATTAAAAATTTATATAATTGTTTTGTAGCTACACCAGCCATACGTGTTAATATGCAGAAGATTGCTTTGTGCTTATTTTTTTTTGGATATTTTTCAGAAGCAAAACTACGTGAGTATATTTAAATTTATTAAAGATGTTAGTTTAATTATTAAATTACCTATTTTAAAGCTGAATATATTACTCCATGTCCAATCACCGATAGCTCGTGTCTTAAAGAACATGCCCAGGCTACTCTTAAGGCTTTACTTAATGATGGTAATTATGTTATTTAAGATTTAAATTAAAAATATTTAATTTTTATTTTTATTTAGGCGATAGAAAGTTTAAAATACCACGTCTATATCCTTTAATCATACCTGAATTAGAACTTGGCACCGGAGGATTAACTTTAAGAATTAAAAACCTTACTGTTGAAGGAATAGAAGATGGAATATTAGATACTGTAAAGTAAGTTTATAAAGTAAATTGATTTGTGTGTTACATGTAATGCAAAAACCGTGCAATAATTTTTGGCTTATTGGTGATGATGACAAGTCATCAAGTCATCTAGATGGGTCGACCGTTCTATTTTAGTAGAACAAAATCTTCATTTGGGGCATACAATCCTGGGATCCCGAACCCTGGGAACTTAAAAAAATTGATACCGAAAATCCAGAGGCTTATCCAAAAATCCATGACATAGTCAATTACAAATAGTAAAATAAGATATTGCAGAATACCCAAATAAGTTACTTTTGAACGGTCATAACTTTTAAGTTTGAGCTTAATTTTTAAAATCCCTTGGGATTTTATTTCATTAGTACTTTCAACTCATACAGATCGCTTTCAGGTATTTTTTGTATTAGGTATTGGGTGTAAAAAATGGAATACTAAAATCGATTAGTTTTTATTTTTAAGATTATGTTAATTTAAAATAAACCTTTAAAGATAACCCGTAACTACTGGCATGGGGTTTGATGCGTCGGACCCCACGATAGCAGTTACGCGTAACGTAATTACGTCGCGACGTGACCCTGACATTTAATTTTTTGTTGCTCCACATATTTTGGCTAAAACACTCACCGAACTAGGTATTCTCCCATCTATATACACTCACGTGCAAAATAATCGATCCACACAAATTTCCGATGAATTTCAATCGCAAATAACTTTTTTATTTGATGTCGGATTTAAACGAATATTAAATAATATTGTAGATAAATTAATGGGCAATCGCTCACATTTTAAAAAATTACTCAAAAATAGACGTACGTTTATAATATACAGGTTTAAACAAAAAGATGTTTTTTACCATAAGTTTAAGACACTATGTAGAGTGGCAAAACCGTATATTGTTCTAAATTAAGTTTTATTTATCAAGTCACATCTATTCTTAACAGTTTTGTTTTTGGTTCACCTCGATATATTTATTTTTGTGGAAAATATGGATTTTTTAAAAAAACATTGCAATTTCCAATATTTTTCCTGTATGAAGAACTAAGGTTGCTATGGTCCATCCATAGGCTATGGAGAATGACAGTGACAGTTTTGTTGAATCATCCCATACTTGGACATGTCATACACGGCTTTCAAAAGCTATCAAATTGTTTTTTGCAAATTAATGTTTAAATTTTGAGGTGTCTTCTTACTTTATAAAATGGACATGTCTCCGACTGATGTTGCCAGAGCTATTAATTTAATCCAGGATGGACGGTCACAGTATTACGTGGCAAGTATTTTAAACGTCATAAGAAGTAAAGTACAAAGGGCAACATCAGTCGGGGACATTTTTAAAAGTAAGAAGACACCTCAAAATTAAAACATTAATTTACAAAAAACAATTTGATAGCTTTTGAAAGCTGTATATGACATGTCCAAGTATAGGATGATTCAACAAAACTGTCACTATCATTCTCCATAGGCTAGACTTGATAAATAAAACTTAATTTAGAACAATATACGGTTTTGCCACTCTACAGAGTGTCTTAAACTTATGGTAAAAAATAAAAATATTATTTTTGTTTAAACCTGTATATTATAAACGTACGTCTATTTTTTAGTATTTTTTTTAAATGTGAGCGATTGTCCATTAATTTATCTACAATATTCTTTAATATTCGTTTAAATCCGACATCAAATAAAAAAGTTATTTGCGATTGAAATTCATCGAAAATTTGTGTGGATCGATTATTTTGCACGTGAGTGTAGTTACATCACATTAACCTGATTAAAAAAAATTAATTTTTTGTCATTTTTTAAAATTATTATTATAAATTATAATTATTAATATTATTATTATTAATAATATTATTATTAATAATAATATTATTATTAAAACAAGGTCATTGATTTTTTATCCAGCCGTTTTTTATTTTAGTGTCACTTTCGAGCCGTGATAGTAGTGTTGGTTAAAATAAGCGATTTTAGTTACGGGATAATTAAAATAAATTAAAAAATAAATATTAACTATTAAAAAAATTTGGGTTTTAAACAAAAAAAAATAATAAAAGGGGGTGAATAACATGAGAAATTAACTTATTAAGTATGTAATTTGACTATAGTCATAGATGACTTAGATACTTAAAAAATATTTAGGCCAATCGGGTTATTTTATTTATAACCTTCATTCAAAATTTAATACTTGTAGGCCTCCGCTACGGGTCGGCCATCATACTTTGAGCTCTGCACAAAAAGACTCACTTCTTCGCCTAATGACATAAATAACTTATAGTTTTTGTTAAACTTTTTAACCATATCTATTTTTCATGACCTACTTGGTTTTTAAGGAAATTAAATGTTTAAAAACTTATGTACAAAGTTATGTTCAAAATCATTTATTTTAGATTTGACCCAATAAACAAAAAAGCCTTAGTTAAAATAGTCTTACCTTATTCTCGAATGTTCGGAAATTATACAGCTAAAGGACATATTTTGATTTTAACTCTTGATTCGGCTGATAAAGGAGAAGTAATTGCCAGTAAGTAAAAAATAAATAGCTTATCATTGTGTTTATTAAACAATATGTACATTATTTCAGGAGGCGGTGAATTTACGTGGAACTTTGATTATATTTTAGAAAAAAGAAATGGCGATGAATATGCAAAAATTACAAATGATTCCATTAGCTTTAAAATAGAAAAGGCAGAGATGTATTTTAAAAATATTGTTAATGGTAACGAACGGTTATGTAAGAATGATTTTAAAAAACAAACTGATAAACTAAATTGGGACACTCTGACATAAGGACATATTAGCAAGTTTGCAAAATGTTGGCACTTGATATACGGGGTGAATGTTGGCCCTTTGTTACTACCTCTAAGAAGTCCTTTTTCCTGATTATTTTTGCTAATCTCTATAAATCTCCAGCTATCCATGCTTCTGAATAGATTTCGGTTGTCTTAACCCATTCTTCTTCTAAATTGGACTTTTAAAATTTGAGAAGAGCAGGGCAATCATAAATAATATGCATTAACGGGCTTGAACAGGTCCGGGCGTAGAATTATTTTGGGCGTGAAGTTAAACATTTTTTAAATGAACAGTTTCTTAACCATTAGCCGCCAAGATTGCTAGATCTAAATACTTTTTTCTTGTGGGGTGGATGACACAACGGGGATACCTTTGAACAATTTCTGTAGGAGCGCCATAACAGCACTTGGAAAGCATTGCACTGTTGAATTTCTTATTTTTGTTTTTTGGTCGTTTATTGTCAACACTAGCCCGGACCGGCTTAAAAATGTAATTAAACTTTTAAACTCTTGTATTTTTGAGTTTTGATAAAAACTTACTTTAACTATTTATTTTTCTATTTTATTTCTACAGGCTGTTAAGAAAAATCAACTTAAACCTTACTCTGTACAAATATAACTGAACTCCTGCAAACTTACTATTTTGTCATAGAAATGGTGTTCCTTAAATTTAGTATATCTGTTTATATATATAGTCCTATTAAAATTAATATTTTTAGCCAATTCCACTAACGAACTTCTGAACAGCGAATGGAAAACCGTAGTTGAAGATTTTGGTCCACCAATTGCACAGACTATTAAAGGAGTTTATAATCTTATCCTAGGATCATATTTTCAAAGAATTCCGTTTAATCAACTGTTTGTTTTAAAGTAATACCTAATAATAAAAATAATTGTGTTTAATAAAAATGACCTAGTTTTCATTTATTTGTTTTTAAATATATTTGAGGTTTAAATTTTTATATAAATATTGACCTTGAAATATTATTGAATATCTTTCGACGCGTCGTACTATAAAAAGAATAATAAAATAATGATTTTTGATTTAGAAAGGTAAAAAAATTAAATAATAAAAAATAGCTTTACGTGTATATTAAATACACAAGTAAAGGTACAAAGTTTGTAAATGTATAATATACATACATATATATATATATATATATATATATATATACAAAATTCTATCATTGCTGCGTCCATACATTTATAAAATCCCTATTCTTATTGCGTCAACGACCTTACTGCGTCAGTATATCTGACGCACTAATGTCAAGCGCTTATTTCTTAAAATTTACTTCATCCCGGCACTTTCTAAGATTCTTGCTAATACAGATCTGTGAAGAATTGAATTCCCAATTTTTGTGTCCAAAAATTTTTTATGTCCGACCCTGCGTTTTTTAAATATTTAGAAAAATTTGAACACAAAATGTGTGCAGCAACATACTAAAAATGAAAAAAATTTGTATATTTAGTTCAACCCATTTGACGATGAGGGCGTTGCGATAATATACATTTTTCAATATACGTGTTTTTAAATACTGTATGTTGTTGCGTCGCACAATTTGGCAACGTCTCGCCTATGATTTTAATATTTGAATTAAACTCACGATACTGTTGCGAATGGTAGCGCTGTTTCTCTCGCACCGTGTGACGTCACACTAGAGACAGTTGTCCTTTCGTTTAAATGTAATCATATTATAATCTTGGGGCGCGCGTCGAGTTTTATGAAATTTACAATTATGACGGTGGATTTACGGCCATTCCAAGCCCATGGACAGGACACATCAAAACATGTCTAAATTATATTCTTGTTACTTCCTTAAGTTTACTTATTTTTTCTACGAGTATTTATGAGAAGTATTAGCCAACTTTGGCCAATACTTCTCATAAATACTCGTGGAAAAATAAGTAAACTTAAGGAAGTAGCAAGAATATAATTTAGACATGTTTTGATGTGTCCTGTCCATGGGCTTGGAATGGCCGTTTATTAAAACTGATTGTAAGATAAAATTGTTTTGTACATAAGTAATTGTGACAATGTATTTTTTAAATTATATATGCAGATGCAGATTTAAAGGCAGAAAAACCATTATCATTTTTTACGCTTATAATCGTAAAAAAATGATCATCGTTTTTCTGTTAATTTTACTATTTCAAAAATAATAAAAGTTTTGCATGTTTCATGTACTTAAAAAAAATGTAAATAACTACAATGTGTTTTATGTTATTAACAGGTAATTCAAAAAAATTTAAAAAAAAGTAATACATCAATGTTATAAATACAGCGTGTTTCTACTAAAAATTGACAATCTAAATTAGGCTTTCTAATAAATATTTTTCAATTGAGCTTTTGTTTTTGAATTATCAAACTTTGTTTTGAAGTAAAACTTTTTATGTAAATTATTTATGGGCGGATTAAAAAAAATAGTTTTTAGTAAATTTTGACATTTTTTCTTTAGTATCTTTAGTAGATTTATTACAGTTTTTACACAAAATAACAAAAACACAATACAAATTTAAATGTCTTATAATAATAATTATTATAATTTTAATTATTGTAATAATAATAATATTACATCATATTATAATAATAACATTACTAAACAAAATTAATCATAATAATATCATTAAACAATGCAGTAGCAAGTTAAATAAGTAGTTTCGAAACTCGAATGTTGAGCGGTCTATGGAATGTCACCCCGTCCATCATCTCTATGTTCAGGCATAATTAAATACATGTATATCTTAAAATCAAATAATACCACACAATGTTAGTTAAAAAAAAATTGTCTTAATTTTAAAAACATTCAATCCCCCGGGGGCGTGGCAAAAATTATTTTTAAAAATTAAAAAAAAAACAGCTTATACAAATACCCTTCTCACAACTTTTTTTTAACTAAGTGAGATTTCCAAAAATAATTATTTCAGCCCAGCCTACCGAATTTCTAATTTTTGCCGCGCCCCCGGGGGATTGAATGTTTTTAAATTTTTTTTTAACTTACATTTTGAATTTGGCATATTAAAAAACTATAAGGTTTTAACTCACTTGTAACACAAAAAAAATCTTGTTAATATATTTTAATTTTAAGCCCCTCTCCAAAGCTTTTAAAGTTCTAATATGCAGCTCTTCGATTAAAAAAAAGCCGTGGTGCGCGGCGTAAAATTAAAATATATAAATATTTTTTTTTGTGTGTCTTAAGTAAGTTAATACCTAATATTTTTTAATATGCAAAATTCAAAACTTAACTTAAAAAATATTTTTATTGAATTTTGAGGAATTTTAACCCCCCGGGGGCGCGGCTAAATTTGTTTTTAAAAATTTGAAAAAAAACAGCTTATTTATATTCTTACAATGACAATGAACCCTCAAAAAAATAAAAGTTCCCGGGAATTTTTTGAATTTAGTGATTTTTTTATGTTCACTAAAATTTTTGTACTAAAATTGTACAACTTCTTGTGGCCTAGTTAGGGAATTATAATTCCTCTATAGAGGAATTACTAGGTATTTTTTAAATTAAAATGGAATTATAATATGTATATAAGGGGAATTAGTAAGGAAATAGAGGAATTAGTAGCAATCCTGGGAATTAGTGTACACATTTTCTTTTGCGGTTTACCCCGAGGGGTAAACCGCAGGGGAATTTTGGTGTACAATCTGTAGGAATTAGTAAGGAATTAGAGGAATTTGGGGAATTACTCGGTAAATTAGTAAGCAAATAGTGGAATTAGTGGGAAATTAGAAAGAAATTAGAAGAAAATTGATGTCTCGTTTAGCACTTGAATATAAAGAAAAAAACAAAGAAACCGGAAGTTACAGAGCTACTCCATTCTTTGCCAGTTCCAGATTGGGAGTAGTACCACTGCAGCATTGAAAAAAATGAAGAATGTTGTGTACAGCACACCACCCATATTTTAACAAAAAATAGTACTCGTTTCCTAAAACCAGGAATACATCTGCCAATTGGGAAATACACTGTCTTCTCTGGTCATCTCAGGGAATTAATTTTAAAGTTTCAAAAAGACAAACATCTCCTGACAGATTCGGATCTCAAAAGTGAAGACAAGATGAATTTTGCATCCGCAGAAAAAATGTGCAGTTTGATAGTAATTGAACGACTGAATAAGGAAATTCCACAAATTAAATAGAGCGTGGCGTATCTCAAGCTAATGTACTACATCGAATCGTCGCGACGCGTCGTTCTTAAATTCTGTGTTGCATACTAGATTATATCGCATCTGGTATGTTGTATTTTTTACTAGAATCTGGAAAGCCTGTGTTAAAGAACAAAAAGAATATAAAATAACAGACAACTTTTTGACCAGTAATTGTAACCTTTGCATCGAAACGCCCATGCTTTGACTTAAACTAATACTGAAGCTTAACAGCGGTGAGTTAAAACCAGATATGTTCATCACCGGCATTTTTGGTAGCCAAGCATGTGAATCCTTATTTTGGGCTGCCAGATCCATGACTTCTACGTATTCAACAATAATACATTTTAGTATAAAGGATATGCTGAACCGAATTGAGAGAATTAAGACAACTGATAACATAAACGATCTGAGGGGGACTTTTACTTTTACGTGAAGAAGAAATTTTAAATTTGGATATCAAATCTACAGTTAAAAAAGCTCTACAAAATGTCATAGAGGACATGAAACATCTTGGAATTAATGCAAAAGAAAACGATTGGAAAAATATGCAGGTAGGTACCGTTAATAAGACGGAAACAAAATATTGCAATTACACAGAATAATGAAGACGCCGACGAAGACAACGCTGAAATTGTCGAAAACCCCGAAGAAAATTGGCAAAAACAAATATTAGTAATGAGGACGATAAAGTTATGGATGAAGTTATGGACTTTATTTCAAACGAGATTTCTAATGAAGATCACGAATGTGATACTTTGGAAACGAGTTGTATAAGTTTAAAAGACTTTTCTAAAAAAGTGCACAGTGTATCGGAAAAATCACCGTACCTATATAATATTATATATTCAATTATTAAAAAATCATCGTACTGCTGGCTTTTAGATCAGTCCGACGGTAGAGTAAGTACTGGCCGATTAAAAAGATTTATAGGCGGTACAAGGAAAACACCGAAGAAAACACCTTGCAAAAATTCCAAGTCGACCTTGACTATAAACAGAAGTTATGCATGGATCAAGCTAGTAGCACAAGCACTGTATCATCCTCCGACTCTATCGTGATGGAACTCGACGACTCCGATGATTTGGAGGAGTTTTCAGATGAGATCTTGTCGTATAAATCAGAAAATGTATCGAAATTTGCCGGACTCGAGATACACTAGAAAACTATTATGCGGATTTCTATGACCAATCGTGAGCTTTGCTGCACGAGCGAGGCGAATGTAGAACACACTATTTAGAAATCGCCGCCTTTTACCACGAAATATGTACACTATTTTTTATGACAAAATGAAAATTCGACTTTCGCTGCCCTTTAAGAGAGAAAAATTGTTAATATTTAAGTTAATTCATAAACTAAAATATACCAAACTAAAGACAATAATTGGCTTAATTAATAATATTAATTATTAAAGAACTTATTTTAAGCGAAAGTCGAATTTATGCTGCTAGTGTCATGAAAAAGCATTGATTAATATAATACTTTTCTTTACTATTTCTCTTAGTAAAGTAAGTATGCTATTTTTCATTAAGAATACGAACAAATATACCCTTCAAAAAGAATTACTATAGTAATTATTACTATAATATTAATGGTAATTATTCATGTTAAAATGTATAGCAAGAAAAAAATAGAAACTAAAATCTTGAAGGTTTAAAAAATAATAGGGATATTTAAAATTAATTAAAACTTTTTAAACCTTACATTCCTAATACAGACATTATTCTATAAACATGCAAAATATCAATATTAAAAATTACATAGAAGAAA